GACATGTTGGTACGAAGCCTTCATACGAACAAAAGTAAGAGAAATTTAGGATAAGAATATGAACATATTCTTGTATGAGGCTCATTGTTTTGTTTTATATTTATTAGGTTCTATTGTTCCTAAATAGTTAGGGGAATTGAAAAAGAAAAAAGAAACTGGATACTCAAGGGGATGAAACTGTGTGTGTTTGTTGGGGGGTGGGAGGGGGCAACAAATTTTAGGCACCCCTGGTTACATTTCCAAAAAAAAAACAAAAAATCAGATTTATAGCTTTGAATAGAGACCAAGCTTGTGAATTTACTCCAAAGGGTTAAAGASCAGTACCTAATTGAATTTGAGTTTGCTTTCAAGGCGTTTTAAGGAGTTTTAGGCCCGACAGCCTACACRTGTTCAAAAGCTTTCATCTTCACCTTGTATCCATCCAGGGGTAAAGTGACGGGCAGGCTGCTCTGGCGGCTGTGTCTCCAGCTCTGAAGCAGCCTCTGTTGGGTTTCGATCTTCTCCTTCTCCCTCTCCACACTCATCTGGCCCTCCTTCAGCCTATCCAGGTTCTGCTGGTACTCCTGCTGCTGGGCCTCCAGCTCCTCGCGGTCGCAGCGCAGCCGCTCAGCCTCCAGGAGACACCGCTGCTCTCTCTGCTCCAACAAATTCTCCTGCTCGCCCTGTTGGCACAAGACAAACTGACCGTTTTCCTTTGCTTTTGGCCTTTCGGTGGCGGGTGATAACAAACGTCCGAAAAGCCCGAGGCCAACCTGCTGTTTGTCTTTGGCCACACACTCTTTCTCCCAGTGCTGCTGCTCCTGCTTCAGCTTTCTTTGGAGTTTCTGCACCTCGTCCACATCCTCTTTCCCCCTCTCCAAACTCCTCTTTTCTTCTTTCATCTTGTCAGCGTTCCTCTGTTTCTCCAGGTCCTGAGAAACAACAAAGAACATTTTTATACTATGATAAAAAAAAAAAAACTATCACTTACTGGTAGATACTTTTTAAAAATGATAAATTTAAAGATTCAATTGAACAAACCATGCTGCTTTGGAGGGAAGCAAGGCATCGGAGTGGAGGCCTTTCTCCTTCTTGGAGAAGAAGTTTGTGGACTTCAAAGTAGCTGTCCTGCAGGGTCACAGCTGCCTGCAAACACAAGGAGGATTCAGATTTATTTGTTTAATATTTGATTTTAGAGTTAAACAATAAACAAATATTTTATAATGGAAATCATAAATTTACATCTCAGCAAATTATTGTTTTTTTTAACTAAAAACAGCAAGAAATCTAAATATCATTGTGTTTTTCCATTTTCAACACAGTTTTTGTGTTATTTAATTGTTTTATGAAGTGTATGAATAAAGTTCTATAAATATAACTTAGATGTGTTTTCTTCTCACCTGCAGACTATAAAGAATCTGAGTCAGACTTTGGACACTTTCTGCCACCTAAATGAAACAACTGTGTGTTATTATAAAAAGCTGTTTTTATTCAGAAACAAACACTGCTTGTGTGAGATGAGAAAGAACCTTTAACAGTGTCCCTTTGGTGTCTCTTTGTTTGAGCTCGACAGCTGAAGTCCACGACACGCTGTCCAACCCGGTTAACTCGCTGTCTGACCCGAGGGAGGCGGAGCTCATGCTGAGCGTGCTCAGATAATCCGCTGTGTAGACAGGCAAAGCAGAGGTGCGCGTGTGAAATTTACTAACATAAAACAAAAAGATGAAYAGATGTGAATAAAATAAAAAAAAGGACAAAAGAAGAACCTGCGACTCACGTTCAGAAGGAGACTCCTGGATGCTGCTGCCGTGGCTGTTGTAGCTGCAGCACTCGGGGGCTCGGACAGGCGAGCTCTGAGTTTGGACAGAAAGGCCGTCCCGAGCCTGAAGGATGCTGATCAGGTTCTCCGCTGCAGAAAACACAGGTTTTTGTAACAACTGGTTATGAGTCTGCATCACAGGAAGAACCTTCTCTGTTCATGTTGGAAAATAAAAGAACTCTGAATGTGTGTGTTTTATGTTCAGTTAGTTAAGAAACATCTGTTTGACAAAATGTAACAAATATTTTTCATTGTCTGTTTAAACCAGTGAACCTCGGTGACCCTGAAAGGAAGAGGCAGGTGAAAGATAAAGGATGGATGGATGGATGTTTATACCAGTGCAGTGGTGTCGGGGGTGACGCCACTGAATTAAAATAAATAAATAAATAAATAAAAATGTATATCTACAGAATTTTTTGTTTCTTTGTTTTTGTGAATTCATTGGCCTTAAAGGAGCACCACAGAAATCAAGAACCTCGTGTATCTTGAAGTAAAAAAAAAWAWAATAAAATAAAAACTAAATTTTTAATCATTTTTACTTTTTAAACTAATAATTTATTTCAACAAAATAAACAAAATTAAAAAAGTAAATAATAGGGGTGCAACAATACATGTACCTGTATTGAACCATTCAATACAGTGCTTTAGGTTCAATACAAACCGAACAATACAGATTTTTTAAATTTATTTTATCAACTTGTCTTCTGAAGATGCTCTGTGTTGAAGGATCAGTGGATCTGTGTTCGACTACTCCACCTAGGCTGCATTTTTGAGCGCAGATCCACTGAGAAACTTGCTGTTTCAGCAACATTTAATTTAAAAACTGTACTTTTGAGGTTAAATAAATGTTCATAATTAATTTAAATAAATTACAAGATAAAAAGGGCATGGACATTTCTCTTTTTTGTATCAAAAAAATATGAAACTGTGAGACTAAAGTATCGAACCAAACAGAATCGTGAATTTTCTGTATCGTTGCACCCCTAATAAATAATAATACTTGTTTTTAACATAATGCAGTGTTTCCCTTATCATTAGCAGGGGATCATGTCCCAGAAAGTTATACAGTAGTTTGAACTGATAAATATTTAAATACTATCAGATCTTAATAGTATTTCAATTTGTGAGTAAACAAATATAAGTTTCATGAGGGGATGACAGAATATAATTGAGAACCAATAGTTTATGCTGCGATATGATCCCTCTGTCAGACTGAGGTAGAAAAGCTCATTTTAGGTGACTGACTGGACATAAATAGTGTTTTTTTTTAGGTCCTTCTCACCAGAACATGATATTTGCCATAGTTAATACTCGTGTAGGTTWTTCACAAATCTGTGTAACATGTAGCCAACACAGCAGCGGTCTAACCTTCTCTGAGCGCAGCAGTCAGCAGTGAAGAGGCCTGACGTGGAGTCTCACTGTCGATGTACTGTGCAGGCCGAACCAGCAGGTGGCGATGTGGGACAGGTTCTGGTGGATGGAGGGTTAACTCCGTCAGCTCAGCATAAATTTGTAGTTTTTCCTCCAAGCTGTGGCAAATTTGCTGGTCCTGACCAAACAGCGTGTCTGAAACCAAACAAACTGTAAGGTGAGGGTCTGTTTGGGTGTCATGATTCGACACACGTATGAACTTCATCGTCTCACCCTGGAACTTGTTAATCGCCTGAACTCTCAGTTCTGCAGCTTGCCTGGCTTCCTCCGTCTCCGCAGCTCGCTCGTCCTCCTCCTCTTCCTCAGGACAACTGCCGTGTGTACCAGCGGGTTAGATAATGAGTGACACAAACATTAATACTCATTAACCTGACTTGTAAACAGAGAGAGATTCTGAACTGGACAAACAGTTCGGGCTGGATGTGAACCACATGTGGGGACACACAGACCTCTCCACAGCCTGCCGGATGTGTCTCATCCACGCATTCCTTTCCTCTCTGGTGGCGGTGTGAACTTCATACATCTCTGGCCCCACAGAGGACGCGGAGATAAGAAACATTCCTCTTTCCTCATTGGCTACTTCTCGAACAATAAGCTTCTGCAGGGGGATCACTGGAGGCTTCTGGTCCTGATGGAGAGAACCCACCCCACAGAAAGGTTACAGGGGGACAGCCAGGATTGAGCTTCACAGCAGGGTTTGGATGGATGCTTACCACAGATGCAAATATGAACCGCTGGTCTTTCTCTTGCAGGAAAACCAGCACATCGGTGAGCAAAAGAGCCAAAGTGTCTGCAAACAAAATACAAACACGTGAAACGTAGGTCTTATATTGAAAATGAAATCTTGTAGAGCAGTGTTTCCCAAAGTTGGGGTCAGGACCCAAAGTGGGGTCCTGAAACATCAAGGTGGGGTCCTGAAAAGATTTTCGGAATTAATTCCATTTTTTGCCTTAGTTGTTACAAAGGAGTGAGGTTAGTGTATTTAAAATGGATAAATGTAGTATAAAAAATATTGTTACTATGTCCATGTTTAGTTGACCTGATACAAATGTTTATCACACAAAAATAGTTGTGGGCACAGGTCTCTGCTATTGTTATTTTGTGGGTCAAAAGCTGAAAAGTTTGGGAACCACTGCACTTTGKTTYCCAAAGTTGGGCTTGGGACCCAATTATGGGTCACGAAGCACCTTGGATAATCTCCAGAAATCAATTTAAAGGGTAATAAAATAATTGCTGATGTAATATTTTCCCTATAACTATTACAAAAACACAAAAATATGTATAAATAAGTACTTATATTTGTGTACAAGCTGTTCAGATTGTTTAAAAGCCTGTGTTTTTAGGGTTATTAACAAAGTTTGTGTACTCAGACCAGTAATATTTGGGGTCACAAGATTGGATATTTTGTAGGTCAAAAGATAAAAAGTCTGGGAACCACTGTTGTAGAGGACGGAACCTCGATCCCACCTTTTAGGCGTCCCGTGGCTGTCTTCCAGTAGACGAGACCCTTGTGCTGCAGAACTCGGTGCCTGCTGTGCAGCTCCTGCTTGCGGAACACCTTGTCGTTCTTGAGCTTGGCGAAGCTCTTCGTTTCCAGCCTGGCGAGCACTTCCTGCAGCTCCTGAGATCGCTCATATTGGCTGACAGTCAGGTCCACGGCTGCGATGATGGAACGGATCTGAGCCAAAGCGCTTGACAAGTCAGAGTGTTCCGGGCTTCCTTCTGCAGAGGAAAGTAACAAACAAACCCATGAAGCAACACAACGTCTCAGTTCAGCTGCTGTCAAAATAAAGATCTATGTCCTGATGCATCTCAGTAATCCAGGTAGAAAAAACCAAAAAGTAAAAACAAGTAGGTCCTCTGGATGGGTTCTTCTTTAGTGAAACGTTTTGTCTCTCCTCCAAGAGACTGGACTTTTCTGAAAGCAGACAAGAAACCCAAACAGGATTCCAGCCAACAACCAGGCGAAAATGAAGACCCTAAACCCAGACCCAAACCAGTCGTCATTCCATATGTGGCGTGAGTTTCAGAGAAACTGAGATATTTATTCTCCAAACATGACGTCCCAGTGGCTTTCAAACCCCAAAACACGTTACGACAAAGATTAGTTCACCCCAAAGATCCAGTTCCCCGGCAAAAACAGAGTAAAATAGTATATGCTGTTAAGTGCCAGCAGGACTGTGATCAGTTATACATTGGGGAAACAAAACAGCCACTGTTCAAAAGAATGAGCCAGCACAGATGAGCTACTTCGTCGGGTCAGGACTCTGCAGTTTACACTCATCTACAGGCCAGCAGTCACTCTTTCAGGGATGAAGATATCCTCATCCTTGATAGAGAGGAATGTTGGTTTGAGAGAGGAGTAAAGGAAGCCATCTTTGTGAAGAAAAACCGTCCACCATTAAACAGAGGTGGAGGCCTTCGTGTCCAGTTGTCCTCCTCCTACAATGCTGTCATTGCAAGTATGACTCCGCCCCCTGTGAGCAAAAGATGTGAATCAGGGCCCCAACGATACCAACACNTGTCATTGCAAGTATGACTCCGCCCCCTGTGAGCAAAAGATGTGAATCAGGGCCCCAACGATACCAACACAAAGAGGGAAAAAACAAAAACTAGGGGACGTTGAACCCCGCCTGCATTCACTACATACACATAACAAAACACCAAATAACCACAGCCGAAGCATCCAAACCATTAAGTCAGGTGACGGGACACATGACCCTCTATGAACAACAGAACTAATCAAGCCTATTGTTAGGCGATGGCCCTCTTTTGCATGTGACTAAATAGAGCTAATCAAGCCTATTGTTAGGTGATGGCCCTCTTTTGCATGTGACTAACCTGTTTGTCCATGTGGAGGCAGTGCTTATAAGGCTGAGTTCACCTGAAACTCATCAGACTGAAGAAGTCTCTTGTAGGAGAGACGAAATGTTTCACTAAAGAAGAACCCATCCAGAGGACCTACTTATTTTTTATTTTTAAAAATCTATGGTTTATTCAATGCTATTGAATGCTATCAGTTTTCTTTTATCATCATGCAAACCATATTTAACAGTTATTACACTTTTGTATAATAAATTATGGTTTTATAACTTGTAAATTGTTTTAAATTATCCCAACTTTTTTTAAAATTATGTTTTTTCTTAATGCACAGAGAAGCCGAGTTACCCTGAGTGTACTGTATTATCCTCTCCAGCAGTAAAGGATACTTTGTGATGCGCTGCGTTACCAGCAGGATACATTCTGGCACTTCTTTTCTTTTGACCAGAGAGTTGTTGCTCTGTTGCTGTGAATATATGTCCAAAGGAGAACATTACTTGTTCAGTCCAAACATTTTACTGGATAAATCCGATAAACATCTGAGGATTAGAGCTTACTCTGACAAAGGTTTGGAATTTCTTGTTCTGCTGCTGCAGCTCTTTGAAGACGTTAACAGCCTCGATGTGGTGACTGCAAAACTTGCCGTACGCCTGCTTCATCCTCTCAGCGTTTTCGTCGGAAAACTGAACGATAAGAATAAAAAATGAGTGTAGATACCGATCTGCGAATTACGGATGTATTAATCCATCACCGCCGACCTGCTGAAGAAGTACATCTCCTATCTGTTGAATGAGGTAATTTTGTGAGTCGTCGGATCGGGTGGCAGCCTGCCGGCGGTCCTGCAGCGCTCTGAAGAAGTTCTTGTGTAGGAGCAGCAGAGGGTCCAAGGACGGGAAGATCCGAGCCACGCAGTCCCAGTCCAGCTGCAGCTCCTCCAACATGCCCCTCCTGAACACCTCCGACATGATCGTCATCGTCTCGATGTGGTGCAGCTCTGTCTGCATTAGTTCTGCAGTGGRAGGCAGAAAGAGAGAAGGTGGTGAAATGTTTCTGTTTATAAGCTTAGTTGAGATATAATGACAGAACCTCAGCAGTGTAAAGTTCTGCTATGAAGCAATCACACAATTGAGATGATTTTTTTCTACTAAACATGCATGTTTCACAGTCCTCAATTTTTGTGCTATTTCAGCAATTTATGTTTTAAAACTTTCAGCTGCTTCAGATCATTCTGGCTTTGACATTTGGGATTTTAGCAATTTATAGTTTTTAAGAGATTAAGCTTTTAGCTGACATTTTTGTTCTTGCTGAAAATGAATGAAGCTGTTTTCAATATCCTTAAAGGGGCAATATCAGGTAAAATCAACTTTTTTGAGTTTTATATCATGTTATAATGTTATACTCTCATAAAAACATGTNGTCTGCTGAGCTCCTAACACTACTTTTCGCTCAGTGAAGCTATTTTCAGATTAAAAATACCTTTGAGGAAATGTATTTTCAGATGCCAAGTAAACTGCATCATAGCGCACGTGCAAACCCCCTGCGCTGAAATGGGCGGGACAGAAGCGGAAGGTGGTTCTTAAAGAGACAGAGACCAATTTTGAGGCATTTAGAAGAGGAAGTGATGAGAAGATTAGTTTATTTTCTATTTAAACATAAAAACAGCATTTTAATAACAGCTAAAGGTGGCATAGATACTTTATTATGGTATAGTTTTTAAATGTATGCCTGAGAATCACACAATATTACCCCTTTAAACCAAGGAGCAACGTATCACAGCTAAGTTTAGAACATCCTTCAGACACAATCAGCAATAACTTATGGTGTATTTGTGTTATCTGATTAGCCAATTAGCTTTGGCTCAACCATCAGAAGTGTATAACAAGTAGTGCTTTCAGTTGCTGGGTGAGATAACAGCATAAACAAAGATTAATCAAAATTATTTATACAGCAACATGTCACAACTAAAGTCCCCTCAGGACAAAACAGGAAAGGTAAACAGATCACTTTCATATCCTGAAGCACAGAGTCCAGTTTAATCCAATCTAATTATAATCCAAAGTCTCACCATAGATAACATTCTGTCGTTTGACAGTGCGCCTRTCGTGTTGTCTGCAAAACTCTGGACTGACTGCGAGGCTCCACGACTCGGCCTCGAGTCCCAGCAGGTCAGCTGACAGGTCACTCAGCAGGAGAGCGTCAACAGGGTCTGTAGGCAAAACAAGAGTGAGAACGGCTTCCTCTCTGAACCACTTGTTTGATGAGCCCTGAAATGCGTTTTATCCCAACCCTTTGTGCTGATGGGCAGGTCRACAGATGGGGGGGTTGTTGCCACAGGTGTTCCCTCTTCACACGGTGAGCTGTTGGTACAAGCCGTCATGCTGAAGTCACCGTCCACCCCTGCTGGTTCACTCAACCCTCTGCAGGGAAGCAGCGTTAACAACTGACAACATGTCTGAACTGCAGCCTCGCTCACATGTACAACCCCTGGCAAAAAGAATGGAATCACCCGTCTTGGATGAGCACTCATTCAGACTTTTCATTCTGTAAAACAAACTCAGATCAAAAACATGATACAATAATAAGGTCATTCCAAAGTGCAACTTGTTGGCTTTCAGGAACACTCAAAGAAATGAAGAGAAAACATTGTGGAAGTCAGTGAATGTTGCTTTTATTGACCAAGCACAGGGAAAAAATATGGAATCACTCAATTCTGAGGAAAAAAGTATGGAATCACTCAAATTGGAGGTAGAAAATAAAGACACAACCAGTTAATTTCATTTCCCTAAATGGACACCTGCCTCAGATCTGAGGCAGGTGTCCATTTAGGGAAATGAACACCTGCCTCAGATTAGATCTGCTCGTTAGTCTGCAGTTAAAAACACCTGCAGTCATGACACCTTGGAGGGCTGCTGGAAGAAATGGAGTGGCAAGAACCATGGCTCCAACAAGAGAAATGTCTCTTGAAACAAAAGAGAGGATTGTGAAACTTCTTGAAGAAGCTAACTCATCATGCATGGTTGCTAAAGATGTGGGCTGTTCACAGTCAGCTGTATCCAAGATATGGACCAAATACAAACAGCATGGAATGATTGTTAAAGCCAAGCGTACTGGTAGACCAAGAAAGACATCAAAGCATCAAGACAAACAACTTAAGGCCATTTGTCTTGAAAACAGAAAAAGTACAACTACATGAAGCATAAATGGGAGGAAGCTGGAGCCAATGTATGTGACCGAACTGTAAGAACTGACCTAAAGGAAATGAGATTTCAATACAGGAAAACTAAAAGAAAACCATCATTGACACCTGAACAAAAAAGAACAAGACTGCAATGGGCTAAGGAGAGGCTATCATGGACTGTGGATGACTGGATGAAAGTTATCTTCAGTGATGAGTCAAGAATCTGCATTGGACAAGGTGATGATGCTGGAACTTTTGTTTGGTGCCGTTCCAGTGAGATTTATGAAGAGGACTGCCTGAAGAAAACAACCAAATTTCCACAGTCCTTGATGATATGGRGCTGCATGTCAGGCAAAGGCACTGGGGAGATGACTGTGGTTAATTCTTCTATCAATGCACAAGTTTATATTGACATTTTGGACAGTTTTCTCATCCCTTCAATTGAACAGATGTTTGGAGGTGATGAAATAATTTTCCAAGATGACAATGCACCCGTGCCATAGGGCAAAAACAGTGAAGGCATTCCTTGGAGAAAGACACATTCAGTCAGTGTCATGGTCTGCAAATAGTCCAGATCTCAACCCAACTGAAAACCTGTGGTGGAAATTGAAAAAAATGGTCCACAAGAAGGCTCCGACCTGCAAAGCTGAACTGCTATCAAAGAGAGTTGGCACCAAATTGATGAAGAATACTGTTTGTCACTCATCAAGTCCATACCTCAGAGACTGCAAKCYRTTATAAAASCCAAAGGTGGTGCAACTAAATACTAGTGATGTATTTTGAATGGTCTTTTGTTTATCTGTTTTTTGTGATTCCATACTTTTTTCCTCAGAATTGAGTGATTCCATACTTTTTTCCTCAGAATTGAGTGATTCCATACTTTTTTCCTCAGAATTGAGTGATTCCATATTTGTTTCCCTGTGCTTGGTCAATAAAAGTACGATTCACTGACTTACACAGTGTTTTCTCTTCATTTCTTGGAGTGTTCCTGAAAGCCAACAAGTTGCACTTTGGAATGACCTTATTATTGTATCATTTTTTTGATCTGAGTTTGTTTTGCAGAATGAAATGTCTGAGTGCTCATCCAAGACTGGTGATTCCATACTTTTTGCCAGGGGTTGTATAACACCTCCAGACAAGCTGGTTTAAAGATTTACATACAATAAACAAAGTTTATTATAAAAATAGCTAAAACTAACATAAAGATGTTGCAAAAAGCAGAACCGGAGCAAAAGGTAAAAAATGCAGGAAAAGTTTAACTATTCTGAGTTTATAAAACAATAAATAAATTTCTGTACCTGCTGTCTATAGAGATAGACTGGCTTTTAGAAAAAAGAGTGACTGTTTCTCTTTTCCCTTCTCTGGTCACTGTTGAAACTGAAGAGGATGAAGATGATGAAGAGTTTTCTTTCACAGAGTCTAAAAGGAAAGAGCAACAGGAAGATGAATCATTCTCACCGTGGAGGTTTTTCCACTGCAAAAATAAACACAAAACACTTTGATCACGTATGACACAAAATGATGTCACTTTAAGGTAAGGTTTAAACTCCCGTATTTGTGCAAAAACATGCACTTAATAACAATCCAGGCCTGATTCTTCACTGAGATGGGTTAAAATTTAACAGGGAAACACGGGGGATGAAGAGCAGCGGCTTACTGAACGACAGGATGAGGGAGGACAGGTGAAAACTCAATGAATCAAAAACTAAAGGAGAACACTGTTTACAATGTTAGTGGTTGGTTGGAGG